GGTTGAAGCCGGAATTCAGCTTCTCCACAGTGGGGAATGGCGCGCGAGAGAGTCGATTCAAAGTGCAGTCACCTTTCTCGGCCGGGGTGACCGTGGAATTCCACAGGGTACACTCGGCCGGAAAAATAATCTGGTCGCGCGAGCTTCGCATCTTTCCTAGCTCTACACCTTCCTCGCTCTGACTAACACGCGTGCGCGCCAGCGCATCGTATGTTTGTAGGGCTGGAAATAAGTGTACAGGCTGTCGAAAAAAGGATTGAACCTTGAAAGCGTATGATACTCGTTGAAATAAATGTTCAACTTGTCAACTTATGTATTAAATCAATTTGTGTCTTGTATGACCGAATTTGTCTCAATTTCATCTTCAGTATTGCGTAGAAAAAATTACGTGCCATAATTTAAAAAAGCGAAAGTGGCCTCGATTTTTTATTGGAAGAAAAGTATTTTTGCAATTTGTTGACGACCGAGCACTGATTGTTTCTTGTTTACGACATTTTTTGTTGTCAGACTACCGTAAGTGCAGAACACCCTGTATATTAACTGGCTGCAAATCAAATTGTTTGTGTATTAGTAAAAGACAGTATAAGTATGTATTGTTTTCCCGAAATTGAAATAGGAATTGATATAGTTCTCAAATGAATGATTTAATTTGGTGTAATAATCCTTTACTTATTATATTATCGCTTACTGCCTATTACCAGTACGTGAAGTGGTAATTTTTATATTTTTCCACCATGAAGTAAAAACAAGTATTTTTTTACTTAGTATGTTTTACCAGTAAAATATTAATATTTACCAGTAAAAATATTAAATTCAGTACACGAATTAGTTAGAAATTGTTTCCTCGTTTCAGTTGGGTATTATACACTTTTAAAGTTTGTAACACTTTTTCTTCTCAATACTCCGTGTATCGACCGAATGATAAATTTTTACAAAGATGAATTGGAGAAAGAACGTCGAGTATCGGTTTGTTGGGAGAATGGGGAGAGTTTACACTGTTAGGTAGTCCATCAAGATAGAAGTATTGTTCGTGTTGCTTGAAACAGGATTTTGATGGTATCGAGAAACAAATTTAAGGCGCTTCAGTCACGGAACGTCGGTTATTTTTGATAACGAGGGAAAGCTATGGATTGTGTGCGTTTCTTCTCGGGAGTTTGACACTCGAAATTGGAACGACGCGACGCGACGTCTCTAATGGTATTCGATCGGATACCGATTTATAAACTCTGTTATTTCAGCCGTGTAATTAACGAACCACGAAACAGCGTTGAGCTTGAGGTGCGGTGACATCTGGAAATTTATTGTAGTAGTTACTCGAACAAGTTCCTATACTTCACAAAGATGTCACGTATTTTGTGAAAAATATATGAGTATCTCAAAAGCATAGATACAACTAAATAAAATGACCGAAGGAGAAACATTGGAAATTAACAGTTTCAGAAATACCATAAAAGAAGGTGCCTATTTCTTTTTTCTTTCCCCAAAGTGACCAGTGTGTAGGGAGACGTGTAACGAGCACTGGTTGCAACTAAACTGCGACAATTTCACTTGACATCTAGTCCGTGCGCATGCGCTCTGTTTTTTCAACATGGCGCCGACTAACAACAAAAGGCGTTTCGTGTGATAAAATATGTGAAAATGATGTCTGTTATAACACTTCGATACAATTTTCAGTTTTTTTCATGAAGAGTGCACATATCGAATCTTTGTAAGGTAGGTGTGCTTAAAAATTTGGAGAGATTATCTTTACTTTTGTGATAGGTTATAACAAGATTATAAAACAATTTGTTTTATAACATTGTTTTGTTATATATTGTAAATGCAGCTTTACGTGCAATCAAATTAAAAATTATTTCGTTTGCGAATTAAAGACATGAATTATCTTAGAGATTGCTAATTTCTGAGTATATATTTACGTTATTTTTTAATGAATCTCATCAGACAGTAACAATTTGTACCTATGCTTTTAGAACACTCTGCATGTATGTGCTACAATGAAGGAAAATTCTTGCAAGTCTTACTTCATATAAATAACATTATTTACACTTTCAAGAAATAATAACTAACCGATATCGTGATTTTGAACCAACGAATGAACGTGTCCGAGAAGAAATCAAAACATATTTTACAATCATTTTTCGGTGTCTGTGAGTCAATATTGGGTCTCGTGGTCCTTCATTGTTCACGATATTGTACCTACGTACGCGGAACCAATAATTTTATACCGCCATGTAGAACATTCGACACCTAAATCCGTGTTCAAATAGAACATAAACGACCACCTGCTACACGTACACAGCTTCGAGAGTAAGAATGGAAACCTATTCAATCTTCGATCACTGTCAATTTTACGACGAACTGACTACGATTAAAATACAAGGAGCTCACATAAATCGAAAAATATATCTCAATGCGTCGATAGGTTTTTACTTCTAATTCTTTAACAGCTGATCGAGTAACCAGTTTGTGCATGGATATCGCGTCTTGCCAATCGATTTTCGCGAAATAGGTTAGGTTAGGTGATGTCAGTTGAAATTTCTTAGCTTTACCGTCAATTGTTTCTTGTTTTTCCCCTATAAACTTGAGGTATTTGAGCTATTTTTTTCCTTTGACAATATAGATACAGTGAATTTCTGAAAGATAGAAACGAGGAAAATGGGAATTTTATAGATTATCGACATATTTTGATTTACGAAACGAGCGTTTCAAACAGCAATCTTCATCCTGCGAATCTCGGTGATTGCAAAGACGTGTTCGCACCGACGAAACACTATAACTCTAACCTTAAATTATGATGATCGAGGACGCGTGACACTAGCTGAACTACGCCATGCCACTATATTGGCACTTCATTTCCAAAATAAAATTCCATCGTTTATTATTTATATATGTATATATCTATACATACATATGTATTTCTGTGAACACTTAAAAAGTACCACTTTGACTCCCAACTAGAAGGGTAACTTGTAATTTTGAAGAAGTAAAATTGCAAACTGAAGATGATTCAAAGAATATTATTAAAAATTATACAATTATAGAACCACAATTATTTTATTAATTATAAAATATATTGCAGCAACGATACAACTTAATTTGTTGATTTTTCAGGAAATAATTCAAGAATAATTTAAATTTGCACTTTTTTAATTTGCAATTTTTTCCAACAGCAAATACAACGGTATACGAACAAATTGAAAACAAGTTGTAGAAATTTAAGTAGAGAGACTTTTCCAATTAGGTGCAATTAGATAATGATTTGAAAGTGCGCGAGATAGTTTGTTACCACTCTGAATAGTTGAAAGCCTAAGTTCAGGATCAAGTTCTACATTCACAAAAGTTCTCTCCGGTCGAACAAAGTTCGTTATATATTTACGTTCGAAATTCGTGAAGGAGAATATTCAATTAAGCGATTATTCTCAGCAGTCAACTCGTCGAGGTTACTTTCCAGCCAGAAAATTCCTTCGATTTTATCACGTAGAGGTCGTGTAACGACGCGCTATCGAACTTAAGATCGTCCTTTGTTACAGTACTCTCGACAGTCTAGGTATAATTAAGTGGTTCACTTTGTATAATATTTTGATAGTACACGAGTGTTTACGTGTTTGTGAAGTTCTGCGTGAGAAATTTGTGTATTATAATTAAACAGAGATCGTACTCAGAACGTTAGGCATCTCATTTACCATATCTGCGAAATTTTCGTACGAAATGAAATTTGCAAAATATTTTTCGCAATATTTACAATCTTCAAATATTTGATTTTTTCTTTTTCGAGAGGAAAAGTTTGTACATAATTCGAAGGATCGCTAAAGAACACGCGCGAGAAGTATAAAAAAGAAAAACAGTATAAATTGCAATGTTATTTAACGCCACGTAAATAAGTACGAAAGTTAAATACAACGCGATAAACGCCACGAATACGAGATACAAAAGAGATCTGAATTACCGATAGAGAAGTATTCTGAATACGATTGTACGTCTTTGTTCTCAAGTTACTCGCTTCCTAAGGCGCTTGAAAATTTACCACGATTTCCATCATAATTACAATGTGATTCCCATAATGTCCATCGAACCATTTGTGAGCGATAACGACGATGAAAGCGTAACCGACCGATTCTCGCTTTCTTTCATATTTTGATTCAATTGTTTCCCATCTTAGCGAACTTTCTAAAGTGACATTTAAAAATGACGCATCGCTATATGGTCCGAGCGTTAAGATTATTATTTTCCTTCGATAAATGTCATTCTGCACAAAGTTCACTCGGAACTTTTATCTTCTCCTCTTCTCCTGGTTTCGTCCTTTCAAATTTTTGTTCAAAGTCACCAAATGTCCCGTATACACGCGACATTCGTTGCAAAATGAACACGATCGTTCCGTTAGTTGCACGTCGAATTGTCGTAGTAACGTACACTGCTTCCACTTCTTCTCGACTTTCTTCTTTGAGGCGGAGATCTTCACGTGGATGTTTCACAAAACGCGTATTCCAATCTGACCCATCTTACTTCACGAGTCCTGCTTCTTCTTTACCATCGAGCCCCTAGAGCATGTGGTACACGCGCGCGCCTAACTATTGTGGCAAGGATGCAATGTCCACGTTTACCGAAACGTATGATGCCTCTCCGATAACACCGAATAACGAAGCAATCTTTATCATTTCAACGGAACTCCCTTCGGCGCCGTAAGCTTCTCCTTCACGTATCCACTGGTTTGATTCGCGTAACACGACGACCTAACCTTTCTCAGTCATCTTCTCGTCGATCACATGCCAGAGATCTTTATACATTTGGAACAAAAAAGTATCGTTTTCATTAAAATAACTACCGCCTTTCTTTCTTTCTTTCTACGTTTACTCAGGTCGTTCCAATTCCCGTCGACGACGCAACCCGAACTTTCTCGATTGAGACGCGTTGTTACAGCGATACGAGATTTCGGGATTCTCTATACCAAAACATCAGGGTCTGGTTCGAATCGGTGCTCGTAGAGCGAAGACTGGCAGGCAGGTGATTGGAATGTATACCAATATCGGTTAATTACTCGTCGGTGTTGTTGCTTCACCGACGTTCACATCGTAATCAGTCTTCAATTTGATTTAGTCGTGATATTCGCCAATTCCAACGCAATTGTACCGACACCGTTCGTTGCTCACCCACTCCGACGCATCTCTGATTCTTCGATTGTTTCACGCCGCGTGCGTGTGTTCCCACTTGGCCCGGCGGCAACAACAGACGGAGAACGCGCGAAACATCGCTGCTAATTTAAACGAAACTTCTTCGCTCGTCGTCCCCGGAGTCCCCGTTATCGCGACGTTCAGTCTTCGATTCAATTCACTTGGCCCTATCCGCGATTACCCTTTTAACCCCAAGCGACTTCACCTTTTGTTCCCCTCTATTCACCCACGCGCACCTTTACGCCCGATAGGTCCCTATTTCACCTATATCCAAACCGTCGTGCATCTCCATCTCCATGTGAGTATCTCGGTGCTTCTCTGACCGATGAGGAACGGACTGCACGCCGACGTCTCGATCGCGACTCCTCTCACGGCCGCTACATCTCTCCTTCTCGCGCGGGAAGTGATGATACTGATGGGCCGCGTGACCGTTCATAGGCAATGTCGGATACGATGACTGACTGCACGTTGACTGATGTCGCGAGGGGAGCGGGGGAGGCGCGTGATGTCCAGGTATACCGTTCTGAAGCCTCGAATCGTTCTGCACCCTTTCCGCGGAATAGTCGGCGTCACGAGATGGCAAATGGGGCGGCTGCGGTGTTGTACGGCGTAACGAGTGATTCGAATAGTGTAATCTACCGCCTGCGGAGGGGCAATTCTCGTTTGGAACGCTCAACGGCGTCGAACCGTCCTCTATGGGCCCAGCTGAACGATGACCGGACGTTCCGGAGTTGGGCAGGGTTCCAGGGCGGCGCATCCGACGCGCCGTGTCCCCGTCGATGTAGGTGAAGCCTTCGGCGAGAGTAGTATTGCCATGGGGCAAGAACCAAACACCGCCGGTTCCAGGGCTAGCCGCCCGAAGTTCTAGCTACAGTTCCGTCACCGGTATAGGCTTGATACCCGCCGCTATTTGAGAATGTTGCTGTTGTTGTTGTTGCTGCTGCTGCTGCTGTTGCTGCTGAAAATGGTGCGGTGGGATCTGCTGCGTCTGAGGCTTGAGACGGGTAAGCGTGGCTCTCGCTATATACTCGTCCTCCGAGCAGGTCTGCTGATACTCCGGATTAGACATCGCGGGATTCTTCCATTTGTAGTCCTTCAGGGCTTCTCTGACACGTATGCGACATCTGTAGTAGACGATCAGAGCTAAGCCTGTGAGCAAGGCGAGGCTGGCTGCACAGAGGGTCGCCAGCAAAGCTTGTTTCCGGGGATCGGAGAAAGCGCAGCCTAGTTCGTCAGGTGTCATACCCTTTATGGACTTCCCTTTCGATTCCGGCGGTTCCGAGCATAATACCGGGCTAGAGTTTCTTGGTACGAGTACCTCTGCTAGCCAGAGCAGGCTACAGTCGCATACCAAGGGATTCTCGCTTAAATCCAGCCGGCGAAGCTCGTTCCAAGCCACCAGAGACTCGGAGAAACCGGTGAACGCGTTGTCGCGCAGCATTAAATGCCTCAAGTTAGGCAGACCAGCCAGAGAACCGTCCTCCATTGTAGTTAATCGTTTGTTGCTGTTCAACACGAGGGTCTCCAGGTTGGCGTTGTCTGAGAATGCTCCTCGTTCCACCGTGGTTAACAATTTCGCCGCCGATATGTCCAGTTTCTTCAGCTTGGACAAACCTTGAAACGCGCCCGATCTCAGAGTGGTGAAGAAGTTCTGGCCCAACGTGAGCTCTTCGAGACGCGGTAGAACAGCGAGCTGTTTCGTCGGCACTTCGCGCAGCTTGTTACCGTCCAGCTCCAACGTGCGCAGAGCGTTCAAGCCGCGAAAAGCGCCGTCGCTGATATCGTCCAGTCCTGCACCGGTGATGTCCAACACGGTCAACTGTTCCAATCCCTTGAAAGCGTCGTCCGGAAGCGACGAGAACGCGTTCCAACCTACGTGCAACTCTGCCAGAGCGTTCAACGGCGCCAGAGCCGGCGACGGAATCGTTCTCAGTTGATTATCGTCGAGGTGCAATACCCTGAGCGTGCCCAATTTCTGAAAAGCGCCCGGTTCGACTTTCGATATACGATTCTTCCCCAAGTCGAGCTCCTCCAGCTTCGACAACGAGGCGAACAAACCGTTCTTCAGGCTCTCCAAGTAGTTGTCCCGTAGATTCAGCACAGTCAGAGATTTCAGACCTTGGAACGTCTTCTCGGTCAACGCGGAGATCTTGTTGTGCCTGAGATGAAGCTCCACCAGTTGCTTCTGCGCGTCGAAGCTGCCGTTTGGAATGGTGAACAGATGATTGCTGGACAGATCGACGTTCTTCAAGTCCCCGTAGAATTGAAAGGCTGCCCCGTCCACTATTTTTATCCGATTCTCCTTCAACACTATCCGTTGGATGCTGGGATTCAACGCGATCGGTATTACGTCCAGATTCGCTCCTATGCAGGACACCACGAGGTTCTCGTCGTCGCAGATGCAACCGTTCGGACAGATAGCAGCGGTGCTGAGAGCGAAGAGGCCAGCGAGGACAAGCAGGTGTAGCAACGCGGTGGATATAGTTGCCTCGTGTCGCGGCGTCTGAAAATAATAAAGAAGAAACTGTTTATTAGCCAGGTCTCTCCAGCCAGCGGCTTATCACGAAATGTAATTTACATTAATGCCGTACATAAATTATTTTCTGCGGAGACTACGGGAACCACATTCGTGACTTCGCCTCCGGCGTAAATAGGGAAAGTTATTTCTGCTCTGGGAGATTGGCTGGGTTACCAAGATTAACTTCGTCGTTGGCTTTTTTAAAACGTGTTCTAGAATAGTCCATCTATTCATTTACAAGGGTGTGTGTGTGTGTGTATGCAATGTAATTAGCGTACGTGCGTGCGTGCGTAGAATCGGTGAGAAGGTGAGGAGGAGCAGAAGAGTGGAAAGTCGATAGCAAGGTGTGAAGAGATAGGCGTGGAGGTTTATTTATACTTTTTATTATTAAATATTTATTTTTCCTCACATTTCCTACCGCTTAATTTTCCTCCACTTTGCGACGTATTTTCGTTTCCACCTTGCAAGGTATTTTCGAATAGACGAAACAGTGGCGTTATCACAAATTTAGAACGTTTCTATTGGCAGTTGCAAACTGAATACCTTTAAACTGGTATTTATAATTTTTATTATTAAACGTTTATTTTTTCTCGCATTTTCTAGCGCTGAATTTTCTTCCACCTTGCAAGGTATTTTCGAATAGGCGAAACAGTGGCGTTATCACAAATTTAGAACGTTCCTATTGGCAGCTGCAAACTGAATATCTTCGAACTACTGAAAAACAATGTTTGTCTCGTTTTATGTACATTTAACTACTTGTTTTTGCGACAAGCAAATAATTTCACACTTCGTCCAACGCATAATCTAACACAATCAATCAAAATTGAGTACTTATTAATTTAATATAAACGTGGCTGAAGGTAATGAAACTTTCGTTACGGAATGTAACTTATTCGAGAAGTAACGTATTACATTTATTCGTAAATGCAATTTAAAAACAACGTATATGTACATTTACCAGAAATATGCTTCAAATATCCACCGCGCGACATTGTAATTCTATTTATTTATTATTCAATCACCAGACGGTCTGCATTGACTTAACAACGCGACAAAATTTATCGCCGATTCAACATTGCGATTTTTCGCAACTTCGTCGTCGCGAATAATTTTCAAAAATTTCGCATCGCCGATTTATCGCCGAACTGTAATAGTTTACAAGCAAAATGGTGGAAAACCGTTTCAAGTCGAGATCAATCATTCCTGACACACTTTTCGAACCTTTCGCACACACGATATTTCTCTGTTGCTTAAAAGGAGAACTTTCCTCAAACATCGCTCCCGTTATTATGTCACGTCCTCTCCTCGTTTCTACATAAACAGCTAAACAAGTTAGTTCTCAGGCTCGAAAGAAGGAGATGCTCTTTTCACCGGGCATCTTTTCGTATTCTAACGCAATTGAAAGTTGCGTGAAATCGAACTCGGCAAACAGACGCAACTTTTCATTACTTTAAGACTCGCAAGCACCTTTCTACCTTCGAAGATCAGCGCTAAACTCGATTTCTTCTATTCCGGGACGAGGAGGAGGAGGATGATACCCACCGCCGACCGATCGATACAATTATAAACTCACCAAACTGGGAGAAACAAAAAAAGAAAACGAAGGAATATTCCACGTGTATCGAAGGAAGGAAAGTAGTTTAAAATCGTTCCAACTTCGTACCGATTGCACAGTAAGTAACCCCAGCGATGTTTTTTTTCTTCGTTCGACGGTGGTTATTAGAGGAACTTCGAGGTACGTATACTGCTGAAGTTGTTCAACGCTAACGACATCAGAGGCAGGGCCGTGAGAGGCACGTGAGCAACGTGTTAATCAATCACACACAACAACGGCAATAACGGTGACGTTTAATAGCGATAATGGCGAGCGCGCGCGGGGGAGAGAGGGACCGGCTTTTATTACGGCGAGAAACGTTGTCAATAAAAATGTACAAGCGGTCGAAATAGGGTGAATTTCCACCCTCCGCTAAAAGCGGCTTTGCAGAGACTGACCTAATACGAATTATAATAGGATTAGCCGGAGATAACGGGCCACGGTTACTCTCTGTTGCGTGAGTTCACGAGCATATAATTATGATGGCGTTGAAATGCTAATGGTGTATTGTTTCGGTCACGGAAACAACGGGCAATGTTATTCGTGCGCGCTCGGTTAAATTATCTTATGTTAATCCAAACTCGTGTGTCTATTTTCTGTAGGATATGCGTAAACCTGCGTCTAACATTGTAGCAACAAAGACGCGATGTCAAACAAACTGCTTTGTAACGTTGTTGCACGATGTGTTTTCCATAAATTGTCGCAACGTTTGCGTTTTCGCGCTGCGGCGACAAAGTTGCAACAAGTTTGTGCAACATTTTGTGTCTCGTTGTTAACAGTGACTTTAAACGGTAGTGTTTTCTGTAGGATACGTGTAAATCTGCGTGTAACATTGTAGCAACAAAGCAGCGGTGTGGAACAAACTGCTTTGTAACATTGTTACACAATGTGTTTTCACATATTGTTGCAACATTTGTGTTTTCGTAAATTGTTGCAACATTTGCGTTTTCGCGCTGCGGCGACAAAGTTGCAACAAGTTTGTGCAACATTTTGTGTCTCGTTGTTAACAGTGACTTTAAACGGTAGTGTTTTCTGTAGGATATGTGTGTGCAGCTGCGTCTAACATTGTTGCACAATGTGTTTTCATAAATTGTTGCAACATTTGCGTTTTCGCGCTGCGGCGACAAAGTTGCAACAAGTTTGTGCAACATTTTGTGTCTCGTTGTTAACAGTGACTTTAAACGGTAGTGTTTTCTGTAGGATATGTGTGTGCAGCTGCGTCTAACATTGTTGCACAATGTGTTTTCATAAATTGTTGCAACATTTGCGTTTTCGCGCTGCGGCGACAAAGTTGCAACAAGTTTGTGCAACATTTTGTGTCTCGTTGTTAACAGTGACTTTAAACGGTAATGTTTTCTGTAGGATATGTGTAAATCTGCGTGTAACATTGTAGCAACAAAGCAGCGGTGTGAAACAAACTGCTTTGTAACATTGTTACACAATGTGCTTTCACATATTGTTGCAACATTTGTGTTTTCGTAAATTGTTGCAACATTTACGTTTTCGTATTGCGGCGACAAAGTTGCAACAAGTTTGTGCAACATTTTGTGTCTCGTTGTTAACAGTGACTTTAAACGGTAGTGTTTTCTGTAGGATATGTGTGTAAAGCTGCGTCTAACATTGTTGCACAATGTCTTTTCATAAATTGTTGCAACATTTGCGTTTTCGCGCTGCGGCGACAAAGTTGCAACAAGTTTGTATAACATTTTGTATCTCATTAGTAATAATGACGTTGAACGAGAGATGGCAAATGTTTTGTAATTTGTTTTTTTATCTTTACTGGATATTTGACGGATAACATATAATTTGTTATTTAACATAATGTTATATAAGATTTTTCTTTCTCTTTTTCCACAGGGTGGACCATTTTTTTTTTTCTTTTCAAAGTCACATTTATATATATTCTTCTGCTGTATGTGGTAGCAGACGTGGATTTGCATTTAAACATGCACAATAATGTGATCATAAGATGGGGACTGTGAAATTTTTAATGAAAAGTGAAACTTTCTTCCATTGCAAAAAAAATTTTCTTCCATTTTATGCAACCTTCGAAACCGTTCGAATTACGAGTAAAATTTCTCTCGGTACCACTGTGTAGTTAGCGCAGATAATTAGGCGGCATGTTTCACGTGGATCACCATGTATCGGGTTAATAGTTGCATCGTTACACCTCCGTGTCGTTTGTATTATTGTAAAATCATGAGGTTAAATGTGCCCGATAAATTATTATGCGTATCAGATTGGCGATTAATCACGGCAAAAATAATAAGCGTGTGCACGAGGAGACCGGTACGAAATCGTATTACTTTTTGTCACCGCTGGCAAACAACAGTCGAGACCATTAATTCTGTCGCGTAAAATTACCATAAATACAATATCGGAGTGTCATCGCGATTTTATTCGATTGTCACTGTTTTTTCACATACAAATTTATTTGCCCGCCTCTACTAATTCATCGTTTCCAACGATTTATGCGACGGTTTTATTCCTTGAATAGGTTAACGCAGATGAACACAGGTTATAAAACGACGGGAATATGATGAAGTTTCGGATTTAATTGGAAATTTAGGAACCTACGGTGTTATTCTGTATAGTAAAATCGATGTTACGAAGAGTTATGCTATGTAAGGATTAGATTGTTGCAGATGAAATGATCGAGGTGTCGATGAAACATTACACGTGCGTAGTTTTAGTAGAAGAAATAGTTAAACAAGGTACGATTCATTGGATTCAATACGCTTTGATCATTGGAAAACGAGAAAATAGATAAAGTTTGGGAATTTTTTTCCACAGGTAATTACTGAATGAAAAATTTCAATTTTTTTTAGAGGATGTAAATGTAACTATCAGTTTTCTTCTCGAATTTTTAGAAAGGAAAAATGTTACAAAATGGCGGAGTTATTCGCTAATTTGCGAAACTTCTGCTAGAACATCGATTGGTACGTTGGAAATAAAATATTCCTGTTGATTTATGAATAAAAGTGTATTATCTACAATGTAGCTTACGATTTTTCCAAAATTCTAATTATCATAGAAATGATGACAATTCGAAGAGAAGAAACCTCTTTTTACCAAGAACAATCAACTTCAAGCATTTCTAAAAAATTGTACAATTGACGTATCGAAGAAATTGTAAGCTACATTGTAGATAACACATTTTTATTGATAAACGAAAAAGAATTTTTTATTTCAGACGTTCCAAGCCTTGCCGGGCAATGGTGGCCAACAATCGATGTTCTACCAAAGTAGGTTTCACAAAAACTCCTCTATTTTGCAACGTTTACACTTTTTAAAAATTGCGGAAAAAAGCTGAAAGTTGCATTTATATCTTCCGAAAAAATGGAAATTTTTCGTTTAGTAGTTATCTACGAAAAATATTCCCAAATTTATT